TGTTACAAGACGCGTGTGCCCACTGTGCCTGAGATGTTACATTTTATAATACCATCCGTCCGATCCCAAGTGCGTCCACCCTGTAGCCTTTGCTCAGGTTCGCCCCGGGCCCACCCCCTTAGAATTGGATCTGGGGACTTCATCATTCTCATCATCCTCAGAGCACAAAGGGTACATGGTCACCTAGTTCTTGACTCTGTTCTGTTGTTCAGGCCAAGATATGAGTGTTCCCCAAACAGCATAGGCCTTGCCTTGACAAGAGACTAAACATTTCTGCTGAATTCAGGGGTGGGATTGGTATGGGGTACATGGAATGGGGTAGGAGGGTTGAGGAATGCGTAAACTAAAGGGTGCTAAAGGGTGAGGAATACAATATTGCTGCTTCTAAAATCTACTTCTACTATAATTACATATAAAGCTTATAAAATTAGCAAAGTCAAAAAACTGAAAGGGTCTTAAGGCATCACTCTCATTCCCTCATCCCCTCACTCCCTCATCCCCTCACTCTCTCATCCCCCCATCCCCTCATCCCTCATTCCCTCATCCCCTCATCCCTCACTCCCCTCATCCCTCACTCCCTCATCCCTCACTCCCGCTCTCCAGCCCGTCCCCCCCCGGCCCCTCCCCGGGCTGCCCGGCCCCGCTCGGCCGGCAGGGGGCGCCAGAGCCCGGCCGCGCCCGCCCCGCGCGCACCCGCACGCGCGGACCCGGCGGGAGGCGGCGGCGAGGGGAGAGAGAGCGGGGACAGGGAGAGGGGACAGGGAGAGGGGACAGCGGGGACACAGAGCGGGGACAGCGGGGACACAGAGCGGGGACAGCGGGGACAGCGGCTCCGGGACCGCCGCCGAGCAGCGGCACCGCACAGCGGAGCGGCGGCAGCGGGAGGAAGAGCCGAAGGAGCAGCAGCGGTGCCGGGAGCCCCGGCCGGCGGCGCTGCCCGAGGTAGGGGCTTCCTCTCGCCCTGGCAGCCAAACTTCGCGGAGCCAGCGCTGGCTTGGCTCGGCTGCGGCTCCGCACCACCGTGCTGGTCCCCGCCCGGCCCCAGGGACCCGGTCTATTTCTGTTTTTATTATTGTTATTATTATGGTTGTTACTGACGCTGTTCCCCGCCCCTCCGCGCTGGGCGGGCGCGGCGGGCTCTCGGCGGACGCGGCAGCTCCGCAGCCAGAAGTTGGCGAGGACCGTGGGGGGCGACTGGCCCCAACTTGGGTCCCCTCTAAACTTCCCTGCCCGGGAAGCCGCCGCCCCTCTCCGCTCCCCTCCGCTCATCCCCGCTCCTCTCCTCTCCTTGCAGATGTCGGGGGTGCTGCTGATCGCTGCCTGGTGCTTCCTGCAAGCGGAGAGCCGGCATCCTGAAATCATCACGAGTAACAGCAATCATGGCAATTTCCTGGACAACGACAAATGGCTGAGCACCGTCTCGCAGTACGATAAGGACAAGTACTGGAACAAATTCAGGGATGTAAGTACTTCTCCGTTTGCCGCATGCTTCTTGTTCGTTCCGTTGCATCCTTCCTGCTGGCTTTGGGAAGCTGCGGGTAGAAGAGAGATGCAGCTTTGGGAAACCGGTTGCTGCTTGTGTGAAGGATGTTCAGAGCTGTTTGGGAGCTGGACAGGCAGTCCTGGCATCCCTGATCACCCCATCGACTGGGGCAGCTTGGGCTCTGTGTCAGTCTCACTGTGAGCTTATGGTCTTCAATTTTCCTCTGGGGAGGAACTTTGAGTGAAGTTTCTGTGCTTGATGCTTAAAGGCTGGTTAACTGGAAAAAGGATGGAATGGGGGGGGGGTGTATAAGAAAGGAATACTTACCAGTTCAAGCCACAAGGTGGTAAACAGTGAAGCTTTTTTTGCCTGCAGTTTTTATTGTCATTTCTGCTTGTGGAGATCTTCGAGGCTGGTATAGGCTTGGAGGAAGCAATGCTTTGGCTTGGGGTTTTCTTTTTCAGTCTGGAAAATAGGGGTGACTTCAAGATGTGTTATGACATTAAAATTAAATCTTGACTTCCTCTTGTTTGAATACAGTCATGGGTATTATGTCAATGATGGCAGAAAGGGAAATGCATTGTTCATGGGCAAGGTAATGTTTATGAGCTCTAGGAAAGGGAAGAGTGGAGCTGGCTGGCAGTTCTGATGGTACTACTCTGTAAGGATTTGTTTGTTTAGCAATACCTGGCCATTTATGGTATATTAACAAGTCAAACTTTGATGCTCTGCTTCTGTCTCTGTGATCTTAACACTGTATCTGACTTTTGAGGAGGAAGTAAAAGTATTAGAGTTAAATGCAATGGGGCCCTGCCTTGCTTA